CCCTTTCATGTCCCTCTCAGAGTCAGTGTCCCTTTCATGTCCCTCTCAGAGTCAGTGTCCCTTTCATGTCCCTCTCAGAGTCAGTGTCCCTAGCTCACTGGAGCTCTCCTTCTGCACAAAGGGGCCTCTCCACTCTCCTCCTTGATTTAAATAACCAAAACACACATACTGCAAAGGAGAAGCATGCCAGCAACAGCTAAGTTGACAAAATGCGCCACTTCGGGTTTGAGCTGCCAGGCACTGCCTGTGAGAGCTGCACCGCATGGGAGTGTGCTAAGTGGATTAAGGGTGAACGGCGACCCATGGTGCTTTGCACATACATCCTCAGAAAACCAGCAGGTGGGGCAAGACCTCACTCAGGGACCCTTTACTTTGATCTGTAGCACTGCAATCTGAGCTTGGTCAACATGGTGAAAAAATAGCTGGTCTCTAAATAGCAGACAGGAGGGTATCAGCAAAAGGCATTTTCAGTCCCAGCAAATAAACGGCTCATAATGGTTTAATCGCACCATTACCAAGTGGCTTTACAGGGCACCACGTCTTTCTAAGTACAAATGACGATGTGGTTGACTGTCACCATGGAGGGCTGTTACTGTGGACGACTGTCACCGTGGGCAACGCAATCTCCGGGGGCACCAGGGGCTGTAAAATACCTTAAAGGCCAGACGACTCCCAGACACTTTTCATTTCCCCCAGAAAGATTTCAGCAAGCTGATGCTACAGTTTTTATCTTTGTTCGGTTCGTTTTATAGGGCACGGCAAAAATAAAAAACACTGATAAATGCACTGTGAGTCATGTATATTTTGTACATTCATACAATGGCATAAGAAAAACACGCTCTCTAAAAGGTAGGATCTTATCACATAATTAGTAATAAATGTCATCTGATTCATTTTCAACCTTCAGCTGCATTTTAGAGAACTTTCATCTGCAGTTTTATTAAGTAACCATAAGTAAAAAAAAAAAATAGATAAAAAGTCAAGCAACATGGGGAATATATAGTGTCTGCGATATGACAACGGGTCCAATATGCATGCAGCGGTGTCTGTGATTGATTTCATGCCATAGACATATTCAGGAAACATCTTCCCTATGGGCTGGAGTACTGGTGTGATTTTGGGGTGGGGGGGGATTGCTCTCTTAAGACTGAAATGCAGACTCACAAAATGCCCTGACTAAATTCACAGTCACAGTGACGGAGAAAGTTGTCCCTCAATCAGCGTGGGACACACGACGCGGGAGACTAGACGCCCCCCCAGTGCACATAATCGCCCTTTGTGGAAAGAGAAATTTGTCACGTCTGAATTATTAAAGGACTAAATATACTGGGTGGATGCGTATCAGCCAGGGGGGGGTGCCGAGGTCCTCTGTGTTTACAGATTGAGGAGCAGAGGGGGCCTCAGCAGGGACAGGGTCACTGCTGGAGGCTGTAGATCCCTGGGGGGTGGGGGGGGCACTCACCAATCATGCAGCTCCTCCTCACCCACACACAGTATAACAGAATAGTGATGCTTTAGTCCTTCTGCCGATCCTATCATGCTCTCTGTGAGACACACAGACATGTGCACAGGTAGAGGTCAACTTGGGGGTCACAGTGCAGGGTCAGCTGGCATACAGTGCCCGGGAGGTGGGGGTCAAGGGCCCGGCTACAGTTTCGGTCTGCCAGCCCCAGGATTCCAACCAGTGCTTACGAGCACAGAGTCCTAACCTGCTGAACCCCCCTGAGATGCAGAGGCACACACATGCACACACATGCACACACATGCACACACATGCACACACACGGCCGCAGGCACCCCTTCCCATCATGCACGTCAACAGACACACACTCCCTGTATAAGTCTCAGAAGACACACACCCAAGACACACCCAAGCGTATGGAGCGCTCTCTCTCTCTCTCTCACACACACACACACACGCACAATCACACACCAAGGCATAAGAAAGGAGAAGAGGATGATGCGTGTTATCTGAGATCAGGCAATGCACCACCACCTGCAAATCGACTTTACTTTCTTCAGCTGTCTGTTCCACACTGTCTCTCTCTCTCCACACACTTTTTCCAAATTTAAATTTAGTTACTACAAACGCAGCACACATGCAACAGCAATCTGGACCCAGGTTTGATCCCGTTCTATAAAATTAATCCGTTATTTTACATCTGAAGGTCTATCTTCAGCACAGAAATTTGTTGAAATCATTTGTTGAAATCTCCAGGGGTGTCCTTACTATCAAGGTCATCAGAAGGTCACTGGATGAGCCCAGCGGTGCGAGTAAATCTCTGGGCAGATACTGGCATCCCATAATCTTGGCAACCTCAGGTGCACGTCCTCTTACCCTCAGCAGTTCCTGGTTCTTCTCCTCCAGCTGAGCCTCCAGCTGACGCAGACGCTCTTCGATGTTACCGTGACGTTCCTCAGCCTGTGAGAACACACCAGTCACCGACCGCGGTCAATGGCGGTCATTTACTGCAAGGGATGTTCTCAGATCATGATAGAGACCAAATATCCACAAATGTCAAAACATCGAAACTTTACTTTGTCAGACACTAATCACATGGTTAGAGATGTGAGGTCAGAGGTCAAGTGGGACCCGAGATGGACAGAAATCCATCAGAATCAAGTATTTTGATATTTTGATAATACCCTATTTGGAAGTGTATCAGAATAAGCTACCAAATACATCCACCAAACAAAGCAATCAAAATAAACTACAGTATTTTGTATTTTAAAAATACAAAAATACATTTCATATTTGTCTATTCTATAGCAGATTGTTTCTTCAGAAGCACCTGGACTCAAATGGCCAAGCATAAGAGCAACATTTTTCACTGCTTAACGAGACACAATACAACCTAACAAAAGATCAAATATTCTGATGTGTCTTGAATACATCCCAAGTACTCACGTGACACTCGGATAATGTCAAGTCACTTGAATGAAAAAGTAGAATTAACAAACTGAGAAAGATGTGTTTTTAATTGACACAGCTTAAAGTTCACAAATGATGATGCAGACAACTCAAAGCAATAAAATGTTAAATGAAAAATGACAAACACAATTCAAGCGCTTCTCTCAGCGACATCTTAAAAGCTTTAAATACAAATAGGCCTGGATGGAGCTTGTAAGTCTTTTGTTTCAACACAAATGATCAACTACTGGCTCTAATGCCCATTCATTTAAAATATCTGGGGAAAAAATGAAACTTCCTCCTTGTATATGAACAAACGTAACACACACATAATGTCAGCAGCTAATCAGTGTGGCCACTAATGTGATTAAAAACCAGCTAATGTGGTAATGTGGCTGACAGTGTCCTGATTCTGACATAAACACACATTTCTGTTAAAGACCCTAGTGTGTAACATGTTTCTGCAACCATCAGAAACTTCATGAAGAAAAGTCTGTGGACGAAGCAACCAGTTCTCCAAATCTCAGGGCTCAGCGTAACTCATAACTGCCCCCTTGGCTGCAGTCCCCCCCCACCCCAGGTAATGAATAGAGGAAAGTGCCTTTTATATACTTCAGTGTTACTGGGTGTTTGAACTAGGGCTGCCCGGGGCAGATGGTTCAGTAAGAGTTGCACGGATCATCCAAACCCACTGAGAAATACCCCGGGCTTCTAGACGGCTCTGTGCATCTGCATAATCGAATGATGAGGCTTTCTGTGACGTGCCCTAAATGTGAATGCTTACAGCATCCTTTAAGGAGACAGATACATATGCATAAGTGCAGCAGTAGCACTCACAGAGGACCTTATCCTTCACTGCCCCCCATCCTCTATCCCATCCCCCTATCCTCCATCTCATCCCCCATCTCCTTTCTCTCTTTCCTCCTCCTCATCTCCATGGTTATCCTTCCATCCCTTTTGCCTTCTTCATCCTCTACTCTCTTTGCTCCTCATCTCTTCACCCCATCCTTCCTTGCCTGTTACCTCCTTCAGCCTCTCCTCTCTCTCCTTCCTCACCTCCTCTTCATCCTTCCCTCCCTGTCACCTCCTTCAGCCTCTCCTCTGTCTCCTTCCTCCTCATCTCCTCGCCCTATCCTTCCCTCCCTGTCACCTCCTTCAGCCTCTCCTCTCTTTTCTCCTGGTCACCTCCCCCATCCTTCTCTCTATCACCTACTCCAGCCTCTCCTCCCTCTCCATCCTCCTCCTCCTCATCTCCGTCCCACATCTTCTGGACACACAGTGAGCCTGGAGGCTTGGACCCCTGAATGGCACCACGTCACTCCGGCTGGTCAGTGTCATGAGACACTAGCAGATCCACGTCCTGCTTATTCCAGGATCTGTATCTGGCTCCGCGGGGCTTGGCGGCAGAGAGACGCCTCACACACTCTCAGCCCGACGTTTACACGGCCACCTTCCCCGCCGACACAGTTCATATTACGCAGCTTTTATCGTATTTCTGCCCTAGAAAATGGAAAAATTAGCAATACGACCTGGCTTTTACAAAGCAGGAAGTTGGTTTGCATAAAAACATCTGCAGAGCGGAAAGAAATGTATAAATATTTAAAAGTGAGCAAAAATCAGAACTCAAAAAATATTAAAAAATATATTTTTGGATGGATTCTCATATAAGAGCTACATATCCGGAAAACATTTAGACCAACCTGTGGAAATGTATCTGTGACAGGTCAGTCCCTCTGTCTCTATCTGTGGGGGGCTGTATCAGACCGTGTGGGGGGGAGGGGGGCTGTATCAGACAGTGTGGGGGGGAGGGGGGCTGTATCAGACAGTGTTGGTTGGGCTGTATCAGACTGCGTGGGACGGGCTGTATCAGACCATGTGGGGGGGGGGCTGTATCAGACAGTGTTGGTTGGGCTGTATCAGACTGCGTGAGGGGGGGGCTGTATCAGACCATGTGGGACGGGCTGTATCAGACTGCGCGGGGGGGGCTGTATCAGACTGCGGTGGGGGGGGGCTGTATTGGGCCGTGTGAGCGGCAGGGTGGGACTGACCTTGGACAGAGCGGCCACCCTCTGAGCCAGCTCAGCCTCCACCTCTGGCAATGTCTCCGCCTTCCTCATGGTCTGCTGCAGCCTCTGCTCTGCCAGCTCCAGCAGCTCCTGCAGGTGACGCGCCTTCTCCTCGCTCTGTTACACGTGCATGAGTGTAAATGAGAGCTTGCGGGCGCCGTGTGTATTTGGTGGCCTGCGAGCCCCTTCCTGGCCCTTCTTTGACCCACCTGCCGGTGCAGGGAGTCCTTGGTGGCCAGCTCGTTCTCCAGCTTGTCGTTCAGGTCGTGGATGGAAGTGGTCTCCCGCTGCGCCGCCAGGTAGCGCTTCTCTAGCGTTGTGATCCTCTCCTCCATGTCCTCCTTCTGTGCCATTGCCTAGGAAACAAGAAAAGGGAAGTTAGGGCGTCTCTGGGAAGGCAGGACCCAGGCCTTTCCTTCAATTTAAGAAAACTAACAACAATCGTACGTGGCCCCGCCCCCACCACGGAGCCCACCCCCAGGTCACAGATCACGCCCACCTCACGGATATCACGCTGGTACTTGGCGCCGAGCTCCTCACTGCGCAGCAGGTCCCGCCGGGCGGTGGCCAGCTCAGCCTCCAGCTCGGTGACGCGGGCCGCCAGGCCGTTGGCACGCTCCTCGCTCTGCGCCAGGTCCCGCGTGGCCTTGTCCAGCAGCTCCTGCAGCTCCAGTGCGCGGCCGGCCCCGTCGTCGGCATCGATGGAGCCATTGGGCAGCCTCTGCGGTGTCGACGCACACACACACGCTTTATTTCCAAAGCGGGGGGATGCACTGCTGCAGGCATGCTAATGTGCTAATGTGCGGTTTTACTGAGAGGACACTTCCTTGAGAGATCATGTAAATTCCATCAAATTTATTAGAATTTATTTCACAAAAGTCACCCCAAGGCACGTGACAAAGTTGTGTGGCAAATCATTATTACATGGTTTATACGAAATGTTGCACTAAAGAGGGAAAAAGGGAAAGTAAGTATCATAGAAAACAAGGGGAGAGAAGAAGCAAAAACTCCCGAGTAAGGAAAAGAAAAACCTCTGGGGGCTCAGGGTCGACTGCCCAGTGCCCCCCCCCCCAGCAATCTAGCCATCCGCAGATAGCATTCAGTCAGGTAATCTGCAAAGAGATGACACAGAAGGCATCTTTGGGATATTAACTGTGCATTTTTGATGTGTAATAGTCCGTGTTGGACTCCCACCTCACCTACTCCACTTCTGACTTTCCCCAAGTTTCTAACATCTCACTTTGGGATTCCACCACAGTGGCCTCCCTGAACGACACTGTCTTGAAGCGATCTTGAGAAACACCAGCACAGACTGAGGGTTCTTCTGGGGGGGGTGGGCTCAGGTTGGTGTGTAAAAAAACACATGAGCTTCGCTGCTTACAGACAAGGAGTGCTGTGAGGGGCAGCGAACCATCTCACCGGCGCCCCCTCTGACCGGAGACACGCGGGCGCCTCCGTCGCCGCCAGCTGGCCGCTTTTCCCTCCTTTTTCTCTGAACCGACTGCGGCAGCTTTCACACGCGTGGCAAACCGGCACAGCAGATTGGCGGAATGTTCCAGAATGCCCATGGGACTCTCGACGAGCCTCGCAACTCTAATCTGATCACGCCGTCCTCGTGTTTTCTGTCCGTGCCACATTTAGGCGGGCGTAACTATGGTGATCGCGATGACGTCAGGGTGACGTCTAAAGTCCCAGGTATCTCAGAAATGTCACGGACAGGATTCTGGCGAAGGGGAGAACGTGACAACGCCTCCGGGTCTTGCTATTGCGTTGGAGATGTGGTGCAAAATCCCCACCCCCACCCACAGATATAAGGTGTTTACTTCCATAGTTACAAGCGCACCCATCTCTGTGTCTGCTGGGAAATCAGCTGACTTCCTGTTTTATGCGGCAGGGACCAATGTTAAGCAACCTTTCAGATATTTTTACCATACTTTTCTAAAGCAGTTCTGCTCATAATTAATGGCGCAGTCAAGGCTTTAATGATCTGACCTAAAAAAATGACAGCAAAAGCATATTAGTGGGATGATGGGGAGACAGAGCTGTTTTGATGTACACGGGCACCCCACCCCCCTAAAAATAACAGAATTAATCAGGGGTATTAATTAAACAAACCTGTGGGGGGGTGTCATCAATCAGGTGACTCTGCAGGAACAGGCATAATTGTAGCCCCCTCTCTGTGCAATATTAAACACACTCACCCCCTACAACTATCTTCCGAAGTAGATTCTCCAGTGGTGGGTGACAGTGACCCTGGAGCCCATCGTAGGGAATACAGAGTACAACACTTTGGGGACACTTTGGACAAGGTGCCAACTATAGTTATGATGCTAGGATTATTTTACTCAGGGGTGGCCAATGTTATCCGCAAAGGGCCGGTGTGTATGTGGGTTTTCGCTGCAACTCCCTAATTAGACTACTAATTAGAGGACTGATTGGCTGAAGAGTCCTCACACCTGGGTTTGAACAGCTGACCTACAGGTTATCCCAAAAACCTGCATACACATCAGCCCTTTGCGGATAAGATTGGCCACCCCTGATTTTACTTGTCATTTGAACAAGAACAGGTACAGGTACATTGGAACACTTTAATTTTGGCATATACACTCATGCTCTCCTTGTTAAAAACGCACGCACATGTAGAGGTGAGAATGAGCTGCGGGTCAGACTCAAGAGCCCAAAGCCGACATGACTATTCTGCCAAGCATGACACTTAAACCAGCAACTTGTTGCCCCCTGGGTTATTAGTCATGCTGCCCTGAAAAGATTTTCATAGCTGGGCATTTCAGGGGCAGAGCTTAAGTTACGGCCAACAGCTCTCTGAGCCCTCCTATAATGACAATGTTAGCATCTTGGGAAGGTGTTAGCATCTCAGAGAGGTATTAGCATCTTGGGGAGCATTAGCATCTTGGGAAGGTGTTAGCATCTTGTGGTGCATTAGTATCTTAGGGAGTAACCGGAGAGTGTTAGCATCTTGGGGAGGTATTAGCATCTTAGGGAGGCATTAGCATTTCAGAGAGGTGTTAGCATCTTGGGGAGCATTAGCATCTCGGGGAGGCTTTAACATCTCAGAGAGGCATTAGCATCTTGGGGAGTATTAGCATCACAGGGAGGCATGAACATCTTGGGGAGGCATGAGCATCTTGGGGAGCATTAGCAACTTGGGGAGGCATTAGCATTTCGGGAAGCGTTAGCACCTTGCCAAGGGATTAGCATCTTGGGGAATGTTAGCATCTTGGGGAGGCATCTCTAGGGAGCGTTAGCATATAGAGGGCAACACCTTTCTATTTACCCAAAATAAAGCATCTCCAGCTTTCCTTATTTGTATGTTCCTTTGGACAGACATATTTACTAAATAAGTAAATGTGGTTAACGTACTGGCGCATCGTACTGTGTCTATTTAAACCCTCAGAAGAGCGACTCCGCTGTGCACCTGCACACAGATGCGTTCCACAGCTGGTACTGTCAATTAGCTGCCTCCAAATGTCCCACAGAACATTACATTGTTTATGGAGAGCAGAGCTGCAGCAGTAGCATGTTTGTGCTGACAACCGTTGCATAATTAATCGCTCACTGGTGCCGCCACAAAAAAAAATAATTCTCGGGACCTAATAAACTGGTACATACTGGAATAAATATTAACATTTATAGCTTCAAAGATACAGGCCAACAACTGAGCCCAAATTTCCCATCATCTCCCAACAAGCAGGAAGTCCGATCCCGAGACAAACGAGCCAGTCCTGGCCCTACCAGTCACACCAAGCCAGTAAACAGTCCTTGCAAGAGCATTTTCCAGTCACAGGGACATAGCGATCATGTTACTACCTGTTCTTATTTAGCTAGATTGACAAACAGGCTTTATTGATCCCAAACAGGAAAGTCCAAGATGGCACAACCAACTCATTTCCTTAGAGAGATGCCTTCCCCAACCCTGTTCATAAACCTGACACAGCCAGTCATGTCAGAGACACTTTCAGAACATCTCATACAACCTAGGCACCTGAATCCAACAGTGCGTCACACACGCTCTCCGAAGAGCCCATGGAGAGTGAATATGGCACTTTTCTTTTGCATATTCCAGGGCCATCGTTGTCCGTAACAACAACCACGCAGAGAGCGATAGTGAAGGTGTAAGGTGTGGCCAACCCTAACCCTAACCCTAACTCTAACCCTAACCCTAACCCTAACCCTAACCCTAGCCCAGGGCTCTGTTTTCATGAGCTGACAGAGAAACAAGAGAGAATAAAAAACAATGTTATATCTATATTCTAATGCATAAAGATTCTATAACAAAACCTTTTATGATTTCCTTTAAATCAGAGCTAGATAAGATTTTAACAACTCTGAGCTATTAGTTAAGTTCTCCCCAAGCGAGCTCGATGGGCCGAATGGCCTCCTCTCGTTTGTATAGTTCTTATGTTCTTATGTTCTTATGTTCTTATGTAC